GAAAGATAATTTTGAGAACTAGGGAATGTCGAAGCCATAATTTTAGTTTAGGGTCCCAGTTTTTTTGAAATTAGGTTTTAATTTTTTTAAAGTCTAGCAGCCGACGCTAAGATTCTAAACTAGCTTTTGGCATAAAATAATTTGCTTAACATAACAGCTGTAAACATTCAGCTTTTATGTCACAAATTCAGCATTTGGATAAAAATGTAAAGACATACTTAGGGTTGAATTATTTATACTATGTGTAATGCTAATCATTGATAAGTTCAATTCTTTTGTAAGAGGATGACAGATTAATTAAATATACATAGTAAAATACTAGGATGTTCAAATTATTTTTTAAAGCAATCTTTGTAATCTTCGATTTATTTTAGAGCAATATAATTTGTTTCAACTAACAGCTAATTAAATATAAACTATGGAACTATGAGGTTATTTTATTTGCTCTTATTTTGTCATTGATTATAGGAAATAAGTAAGATTAGTAGAGATAATTAGACCACAGTTTAAAATAGTTTTGACCAAAATTAATTAAACCACAGTACAAATCGAGGCTCTATACACGAGTCTTAACAAAAAAGGATAAATGCAAATTATTTTACTGCTCCACTTTTCAAGGAAAGATTAGAAAAATAACAATGTTTACATGTTTTAATTCTTCATGGTAGCTTTTTGTCTACAATTAATGTTTGTCTGCTTTAACATTGTTTGGATTAGGCCCGGAAATATTGATGTCATAAAAAGAAGATCAAGAATAATCAGGAATCACGATTTTAAATTACCACCACAACCTCAGCCGGGTTTTATACAAAGATAAACAGATGGATGGCATAGATTGAACACAACGTCAACATTGACCTAGGATACTGCAATTAGACAAACCATCCTTTTATGAAATCGTGTTCAGTTGTGGTTACGTTTGGGGGTGCCTATATCAGCGCCCCAAACGTGAAAATATCACCTTTATTTCAACTATGAATATATTGTAGTTTAAATTAACTAATATGGGAAATTACGATCAAGGATAGAACTGATAACGGTATGGATAATAAACATTGACAATTACGTCATTAGCTTTACTAGCGTGTTTACTTTTTATATTCCTGCTACATGTGACCAGTTCTTTTTTTCAAATGAATGTTATTTGAACCAAACAGCTATTTCAAAACAAACTGTTATTGTTTTTACTTTTCTTTGTTTACACTTATTTATTTAGCAATCAATGCAGTGAAATTGATATAAAGGATAGGTGTGACGATTAGTTTTGATGTTAGGATACCAAAGTTAAATTATGTGTACTGTGAGTTTTATTGGATATTATCGTTTTATTTTAGGTCGTTTCTATTCAGACCTACTGGAAATTGTGTACAGTATAGTAGTTGTATTGTGGTGATAATAATTGTGGAAGAGGCAGGTATGCTATGGAAGGTGGTATCGTTGACTAGGTCTATACACTTCTCAATTGACTATTACTCTCTCTACTGTAGGCAACTTATAATCAGTGTGCGTCTGTGCGAATCGGCTGCAAATCTCACTTCAACGCTTTTCACATAGTAAAAATTGCAGAATTGCTGTTTTATTGTAAAATTATCGGATTTAAAATGCATATCGTATAGGCCTATGATGGAATAAAAACATATTTGGTCACACAACATTTGTTTACAAGACGATTTTTCACATTAAAACTGCAAGAAACTTTGTCTTTATATGTGTAAACTAGCTGATCTGAATTGTACACGGTTTTAACTGACTACTGAATTCCCGTACGTAGGACGGGCTAACACCTCGTATTGAGTTATTTTTTATTAAAGAGAATAATCAAATCAGCTGTTACGTCAAGAAACGCCACTGTAATACTAGTTACTATGGATGAAGCTGTTATACACATAATTACGCCCTTTAGAGCTATTTTACGTCCCAGCTCCACTAAACGCATATCTGTTCACATTAGGGTGTTAAATATTCAGGTTACATAAAACGGCTTTCTCGCAAACACCGAGAATGTTGGAGGTGTAGATGGAAAGCAAAACTAAACCTTAGACTCACAGTATTATCCATACTTTTTAATGGTTTTGTTAGTAATGTGAATGAAGGAAAACAGCAGTACAAAATGGATAAATATCAAACGAGGCTAGTTTTTATTAAATAAACTAATTTGAAAAACCTAATGCCTTTTAAAAGGTTTTCCATAACAGGTAAACTAATTACATAATTTTGCAATGCTGGATGTAGAGGAAACTACGCTTGTTTTGATTGTTTATTCAGTTAAAATAGCAGTCTTCGGTTAATTAGTAGTTATTATATGCACTTTGAAGCTAAATGCATGTTTTAAAATAATATTTTATGAATTTCCCCCTTTAAAACTAAAGTGTAACTAAAAATTTGTGCACCAATACGTTAAAATGCTCTTTGAGTAATATTGAAAATTAAGAGCTTAAAATCTTAAATCGTATAGAGGGTAATAGACTTATCCTGTCTTGAATCGGAAAATGTATAAAAGAACTTCATAAAATATACTAATTAACAACTAATTATCAATCGAATTAAAAGAAAAATAATTATTTTAAGGATAAATCTCCATATCCCCTGTAAGATGTGTCTGTATATTTCGCTATGTTAATTTCATATTATTATGCAGACCAAATAAAAACGGAAAGCTTTCATGATACATTGGGAAATAAATAATTTCAAAGTTTACTTATAAAATAATACTTCAAAAGAAGCAGTCACTATCTTCCTTTGGAAAAATCTCAAAAGAAACTTGGAGGAACCGTTAACTAGCAATCTTCTAAGAGCCTTTGGCTGTCAGATAAAACTGTTTGTAAAATTGAACCGTTAATTGGTCCCGGTGTTTTCAAGAGTAAACTTTAAATGTATTTGTGATAAAATGTTGTTAATGGAGAAACAGTTTCAGTTTATATAAAAAACTGTCAATATGTCAAGAAGTAAAACGGTTTCGTGCTACTAGATGTGGAAAAATTAAATTCCCTCCTTAAAAAGATTTTCAAAGATGACTTTGAAATGAATTCAAAAAAAGTTAAGACGATCAATGGAAGGAGATTAGATCATATTCTTGATATAATTGATCTATCAAGGAAATAAGCAACTTTACTCAAGTTATCTTCCTTTTCTCAATCAAGCATTTGTGGGTTCCGTTATTAGTAGATAAAGCGGCAAATTTATAAATCAATTCAACGTTTTGATTTGCTATGTTGGAGCTTTCTAACCATTATTTACTAGATTTCCTTCGTTTAAATTTTGTTGACTATAAAAGCGCTGTAAATTATATTAGCTACAGCTCAGTTTTAACCTGTTTGTCTAAAAAATCCAACCTATCACTTTACCTGAAGTGTTTGTTATTAATTAATCTATTTAATGTTTTGTTACTTTTCCGAATTACTTCAATTCATGGTATTGTTTAATGACCATCTATTACTAAACAAAAATAATTACTTAGATACAGTCCAGTAGATGCACAGACTAACAGACGCAGTTGAATATAAAATGTACACGATGTATTAAATAATAAAATAATCAATGATTTGAAGATATAACGTTGATTTTATGGTTTATCTTCCGTTCTTTGGGAAATGGACGAAAAAGAATAAACTTAGTACAGTATCCCTTAGTCATGTTATGTGTTCTTTATTGAATTAACCAGCACAGTAGACCGGGAAATATTGTGATAAAATTATTTACATTCAATAAAACAACATCATCATATGGCTTAGAATACTTGTACAACTAAGCACAAAGCAAAACACACTGGCAGCCAAGGTCACACTGGCAGCCAACTTTACACTGGCAGCCAAGCTCACACTGGCAGCCAACTGCACACTGGCAGTTTGGGGCACACTGGCAGCTTAGCTCACACTGGAAGCTTAACCCACACTAGCAGCTTAGCCCACACTGGCAGCCAAGTGCACACTGGCAGCCAAGTGCACACTGGCAGCCAAACTCACACTGGCAGCCAAGCTCACACTGGCAGCCAAGCTCACACTGGCAGCCAAATGCACACTGGCAGATAGATGCACACTGGCAGCCAAGTGCACACTGGCAGCTAAGGTCACACTGACAGCCATGCTCAAACTGGCAGCCAAGCTCACACTGGCAGCTTGGGGCACACTGACAGCCAAGCCCACACTTGCAGCCACACTCACACTGTAAGCCAAGTGCACACTAGCAGCCAATCTAACACTGGCAGCTAGATGCACACTGGCAGGTAAGGGAACACTGGCAGCCAAGTGCACACTGGCAGCATAGCCCACACTGGCAGCTTGGGACACACTGGCAGCCAAGTGCACACTGACTACCAATTGCACATTGGCAGCTAGATGCACACTGGCAGAAAAGTGCACACTGGCAATCAAGTGCACAGTGGCAGCTTAGCCCACACTGGCAGCGTGGTTCACACTGGCAGTCGAGCGCACACTTGCAGCTAGATGCACACTGGCAGCTAAGCTCACACTGGCAGCCAAGCTCACACTGGCAGCCAATTGCAAACTGACATCCTAGTGCACACTGGCAGCCACGCTCACACTAGCAGCCAAGCTCACATTGGCAGCCATCTGCACACTGTCAGCCAAGCTCACACTGACAGCCAACTGTCAGCCAAGCTCACACTGGCAGCCAAGCTCATACTGGCAGCTAGATTCACACTGGCAGCTTGGGGCACACTGGCAGCTTGGGACAAACTGGCAGCTTAGCTCACACTGGCAGCTTAGCCCACACTGGCAGCCAAGTGAACACTGGCAGCCAACTGCACACTGGCAGCCAAGCTCACACTGGCAGCCAACTGCACACGGGCAGCCAACTGCACACGGGCAGCCAACTGCACATGGGCAGCCAACTGCACACTGGCAGCCAACTGAACACTGGCCACCAACTGCACACTGGCCACCACATGCACACTGGCAGCCAATCTCACGCTGGCAGCCACGCTCACACTGGTATCCAAGTGCACACTGGCAGTCAATCTCGACCTGGCAGCTTGGGGCACAATGGCAGTCAATCTCACACTGACAGCTAGAAGCACACTGGCAGCTTTGCCCACTGGCAGCCATTCTCACACTGGCAGCCACGCTCACACTGGCAGCCAAGTGCACATTGGCAGCGAATCTCACACTGGCAGCTTGGGGCACACTGGCAGCCAAGCTCACACTGGCAGCTTATCCCACACTGGCAGCCACGCTCACACTGACAGCCAAGTACACACTGGCAGCTTGGGGCACACTGGCAGCAAAGTGCACACTGGCAGCCAACTGCACACTAGCAGCTTGGGACACCCTGGCAGCTTAACTCACACTTGCAGCTTAGCCTACACTGGCAGCTTATCCCACATTGGCAGCCAAGTGCACACTGGCAGCCAACTACACACTGGCAGCCAAGTGCACACTGGCAGTCAAGTGCACACTGGCAGCCAAGCCCACACTGGCAGCCACGCTCACACTGGCAGCCAAGTGCACACTTGCAGCCAATCTCACACTGGCAGCTAGATGCACACTGGCAGCTTGGGGCAACCTGGCATCTATGCTCACACTGGTAGTTAAGTACACACTGGCAGCTAAGCGCACACACTCAGCACTTAGTCTAACACTCGGACTACGGGTGTGAGAACCATTATCATTATCAAGTGATCATAACGTTATCAACTGATATCCCTTGGTCTACGATGAAACATCAGAACAACAATACGTCATAGAATCTCACGGTTCATTTATAAAAACATAAAAGTTGAATGTCGAAATAATTTTGATTTTAAAACATAAAAATGGTTATTTAAACATATTAGCATTCAATGTTTGGACGAATCAACAGGAAAAATAAGTACTGTAACTTGTGTATTGTTTGTAATTGATTGAACATTGATACATTGTATGACACAACTACTTATGTGGAATATATTATTCTGTTTTTTTTTGTATTATTATTGGTAGTTGGTAGAAGTAGGGAAATGTGGTTAACCGCTGTATGATGGTTACTATAACTCGCCCCTAATTAATCAAGTAATGCGATACTTGTTGCAAAACTCGCTACAGTGGAAGTTAACTAGATACTTACTGCTGGTAATCAGGCTCCTTATATTACTGTATAACCCACATATTTGTGTGTAATGTCTCTGTAATACATAATGCGAACTAATACCAAACAATGTTGAAAATTATCTAACAGAATATGGCGTAAAGTTCCATTAGGTAACAAAAAAAAAAAAAAAACTCACAACGTTTTGGAGTCTGGCTAAATTAAAGTAAAAAATAAAAAAAACCGTCATCTAACAATCTCTAACTATCTTACCATTGCTTAAAACTTAAAACGAACTTGAGACGACAAAAGTTCGAATAAAACACATAATTGTTGTATGCACACCACGGCATATACATAGTCACTATTGTAAAACAAACCCATTTGTTAAAGAATATTTGATCTTCTTTTCAACTTATTGGCTTCAACTTATTATTAACGGCATTATTTACTTATTGATTATGCTTTGTACGTATTTTTATTATTAATTTGTTTAGCCTACTTTGAGTCAAAGAGTATACTAAGTTTTCTAATACGCAATTTTGTAAAAAAACATTCCATGTTTGCTAATATCACGCTATAGTACTGAAATAATCGAAGATGTCTTTTACAAATTAATTTTAAACAATGAAACATCGTTTTGCCAGAATGAGGAATGTATCAGGTTCTTGAATCATACTCAATCCTGAATCAAGTCTCAGGAACCTTGGGTCATAAAGATTTGATAGCAAATTTATTTCGGCTTCTTCAGTTTTTCTATAGTTTCTACTGATGTCGTCATTTAAACATAAAACTTGACCAAATGTGAGGTAATCAGTTTTATTACCTTCAAATTCCTTATTACTGTGACTTTTTATAATCTATTTCATAGATTAGTTTTTGGCATGTATATTGCTAACTCCAATTCGTTTTCGACAGCAAAAAGGGACAGAAATGGTGCTAATCAATAATCATGTAACACAAGACTAAATACTATAAATATTAACAACTATAACCAAAGACAACATTATACTACCATTTTATTTAACAGTTTAATCAATTTCGCTACAATCCCTACAAAATTGAGGATATCTTTTTGTTTGAAGGGTCATTTTATTTTCCTGCATACTAATATGCAGTCACACTTAAAATAATAATTATTATTAATTAGTGTTTTTGAATATGCAAGTTCAAATAACAGTAATGAATTTCATAGAAAATCTAAATGTAATTAATTATCACAAGTGACTAATGGATTCTCGTACAGCCGATAATGGTGTAAGTCCGAACAGATATTGATCGTTTATATGAATAATTAGTCCAATAGTGATTTATAATAACTAAATACATTTTAATGCTGTTTTATTTTGTGTATTTATCGCTAGCCGTTTATCAATATCATTACTACAAAGAATAACTATATATATGGTAAGGGTTTCAATACCGTTTGAAAATGATGGAACCTTAGCTTAACTTAACATCGCTGTGAATAACGAATCACAGTAACATTAAACATATTTTTTTATACAAGATTCATTCCAGTATTACTTGAAAAAAAGATTTAATCTTTAATAGGCAATCTCATAATTGGAGCACAGCATGAATGAAATAAGTGAAAAAAGCCATTGGCATATCAAATAAGACATGATAGATGACTGTTTAAGTTTTTTTTACTTTATGGGTTGCAGCTAATCCTAAAAATCCAACTACAATGTACATAAATCGTGTATCTTAAGGCATAAATAAATATTTATGAAATTGGTCAGTTCCCATTAAATCTATGATTCCAGTTTTTGGCTAGCCAAGCTATTGCTAGGTATTGTTATTGTATTTACATATTTTAAATTATACATAAAATTTGTTAAACGGTCGTATTGTGATCGAAATTTTCGTTACAAGGGCGTGAAGTATCGGAAGAAATAAATCCACGCATTACTTATAGAGTATACAAGTAAGTGTTGAACAGATTGGGTTTTGGACTAAAGTAAAATCATTTACTAATCTGAGCATACAGGTTTTGAGGTTTTTCACTTTATATCGCACATCATATGCAAACTGAAGTCAGTCAAGGTTCAGGCAACGAATATTTCACCTATTTTTTACTTTTTACTTTTGGTGATTCCAGACTCCAAAAATACCATCTAGCCTATTCAGATTAATATACATGTGAATTGTTTGGTACGATAATTTGAGTAAACATTATCCTATTTTTATGAAATCCGGTACTAGTCTTTGTTACCTATTTCATGTTCCTGATCTTTACTTACTGTTTTAACGGTTTGCATCACTTAAACCTATCCTATATGTACACAGCTGCTCATAAGGGATCTGGTTGTGGTTGTGGTCATGATCACTACGTCATAATGGATATTAGATCTATTGGTGACAAAAGTAACCCACAGACGACAAAGTAACGCATTGTTACTCAAATGTCACTGTTGTGCCTCTTACCTTATTGGTTGTGATGCGACACTCAATATAGGTGAGAAAAATGTTTAATATTAGTATAGGACGAAGGTTGCCTAAAATGAAATTACACAATGGAATTATTTAACTGAATCGCAAATTGTAAGGCACGCCAATAGAAAGAAGTATGCCCACATTAGATATATGTGTCTCACAGTTATCTGCTTATGATGTACAATATTTTTAATTTTTAATATGGCAACTATTGTTCAAAGGGATACGAGCTACTGCATTACGATTAATTTTGTTAGTGATAGTTAGCGTGCGTACGTTTTTACCTTTTACATACACACCTCCACGATTTAAACTTAAACATGTTACAGTCTATAGGCCTACAAAAAACCTATTTACATCACTTAACAACTTAACATTATTTACATGTTGAATGGCTAATTTCCGTGGACAAGCCGAAGGGGAGATTCAGAATTTGACTAAGCGCGCTCAGATGCGTAATAACACAGTCCTTCTCGGAGGAGTTGTATTCTGTCCTCACCAATATTATATACCAATATTACTAATATTAGTTGCACTGTCCCCAATATTAAATTTGGATTCGTGGAAATGGTTGTGAATACTCAACTTAATATAATCAAGAGTCTGGACAGTATAAATAGTGTTATAAACACCTTAATCTTTACTTTAAAGTTAATTTTTTGGTACTAAGACAATTACGTGGCACGATAGTGTTCTCTAGTAACAAATTTTTTAATTTACTTTTTCCCTCGGTGTGATATGTTGGTATTTTACTTTCTAGTTTAAAAAGTCTTAGGAGCACAATTGTAAATTTATTTGTTGTAGTTAAAATTATAAAATCATGCTATTTGTTAACTTACAAATAATTGCAGCAAACGCGTTTTAATGAGCGACTCTATAAATACTGGTTTTAACGATGCCTATAAACGATCTATATCCGTCCGGACTTGCACCATTATTGGCTGTGGTGGAATCCATTAGTCACTTGCGGTGATTAATTATAAATGGACTTACGCTGAAATTAACTACAAACTCTGTCCTAAAGTCAATTAAATATAACTATAACTATTCCTTGATGCTACTATTTATTCAACGTTAAACAATTTAGACTATGTTTTCGAAGTTGATGCTACAACTTTGTTACATAAAATTTAGGTGAACCTTTACTGTTCATATTGTAAATAAGAAAATGAAAAATAAAAAGAAATTTTGGCATTAACTTTTAAGAATTTAACACTTTACATAATATTAACGGAACTACAATTGTGAAAGCCTATGTCCCACGGAGCGTTGCGCGGCGTGGGACAGGGTAAGCGCGTGGTGCTACGCGCAAGAGTGGCGCGGAGCGGGGTTGCGCGTCCGTTCCCGTGAGTTGTCGGTAAACATCAAAGGCGCGGGTTGGAGCGTGGACGCCCTGGGCCAGTACGAGACGTTTTTCCACCGGGTGAACAGGTGTCACATTGAACTTGCAGTTATTCAGCAATTGTTGGTGCGAAACTAACGCCTCTCTTTTCCCTTTGAATTAAATTTTAACTTCAAATATTCGCCACTCAACAATAGATAACAAGCTGCGGCGCACGCTAATTCACCGTCACTTTCCGAATCACTTATCATTAAATCACACAGATCTTTACAAATACAGTGTAGCACGGAGGTCTCTATGAGCTTTTAACACTATCCACTACGGCCTCTAGACGGCGTGAGTCGCGGCGCGACACGCGCCGTGGGACATAGGCTAAACAATACAAGAGCTGGTATTCTCAAGGGTATTTATATAGGCATCTACACGGTAATCTCATTAAAGTATTACAACTTATTATTGTTCAGTTATATTTTTATGAATTTGACAACGCTTATGGGATAATTATTCTATTGGTCTAAGATAACTAATAAAGTGAGTATAGGTAACATATTATATCTCGATTATAAAAGGAAAAACATTAGTCCATTTACATTAGTAATAAAGCCATTCTTATAAAACATTCGTGTCATATACACGAGAGAAAATGTTTATGAACTAATCTGACGAGTTTGACTTATTTTACCGTTACGACAA